TAAAAACATTTGTTTTGGGTCAGTTGAAATATGTTTCATTTATTTCAAAATGTTTTGTTTCAATTTCAACTATTTAATTTTTTTTAGTATAACTAGTTTGTATTGCAAATCAGAAAAAAATCATTTTGAACAGGAAAACCAGAATTTTCCATTTTTAAGATGATGAAACTAAAAATTTTCAAGTAAAAAACAAAAACAAAACCATTTTAACAGACTTTTTCCTGCAAAAAGTATTGGTTTTGATGAATCAATACTTTCTGACCAAAAAAAATTTCATTGAAAAATTCCCCACCATCTCTATAATTGTTCATAAAATACCAATGTTATTATCGTAAAAAAGGAGAACTGAAGCAATTTTTTTGTGGAAGCCAATCTCTAATTCCTAGGATGAGTTCTTCCTAGGGGGGACAGAATATTCACACCTGCTTTTTGTGGGGTTTCTTACACCTTCCTCTGAAGCATCTGATGCACGTCATGTGAGAAACAGAATATTGGACTAGATAGACCAGAGATTTGATGGAGAGTTACATTTCCTATGGTCTAAAACTTTCTTTTTCTAAAATATAGTTTTATATATTCAAAATATTTTCAGTTATGTATGTTACTTAACTTACAATAAACTTTGTAATTATCACGTGATATGTTTCCTTAGAAAAAACTACGTCGGTCACAGCATGCACGCAAAGAAACAGAATTCCTGCGACTGAAGAGGACTAGGCTTGGCTTAGATGACTTTGAATCGCTGAAAGTTATAGGAAGAGGAGCATTTGGGGAAGTATGTGTCCTCTTTGCTTGGAAGTGGGTTAAGCTAAATCAGAAAAAGTTATATTTATTCTGGAATAAGAGTGTCCACATAGGGAGTTATTCTAGAATAGCTATTTCAGAAAATTTGCAAGTGTAGACAAGCCCTTAAGGTTTTACTGTACAAATTAGCATTCTTGATCTAAAGAACGTGATATTTGATTTGACTATGAATTTGTCAAAATACTGATCATCCCAAAGAGAGATCTAAAATCTGTTGATCACTAAAGTTAAAAAGACAACTTCTGATTTGGTGTAAAAGTGTCTAATATGGATTATGTCATGTTTAGTATCAGAGGGGTAGCTGTGTTAGTCTGGATCTGTAAAAAGCAACAAAGAGTCCTGTGGCACCTTATAGACTAATAGAAGTATTGGAGCAAAAAGTTTCTTGGTTGAATACCCACTTCGCAGGGCCGGCTCTAGGATTTTTGCCGCCCCAAGCGAAAACAATTTTGGCCGCTCCCCCCGGCCCCTCCTCAACTCCGCCCCTTCCCCAAATCCCCAGCCCTGCCTCCTCCC